CAAGTAGTGGAAGTATTTGGTGTCTGCACTGAGCAGTTGGGCACTACTGGCTACAGGTGTCTGTGGAACCCTGAAATGTGGCTGGTATGCAGGAGGAATTTGATGTCATTGCAATTGGTTTATGTTTCAATTTAAATAACCATATATGATTAGTGGCTACTGTGATGGATTAATGATTAATGATGATTAATGCTCACATTAATGACCTCTTTGAATGTGGTCTTTTGCTTGGGACACCATTGCCTTCAGCATAAAGCCTAATGATGGGCGCTCCTCTGTGCCTCACTTTCCTTATCTGTCAAATGGGGCTAAGCACCTAGACTCTGGGTGATGATGAAGAGGATGTGAATTCAACCCCCTGGGGATGACTGTGAAGTTGGGGCACTCTGGCCCAGAGGGGCTTCCAAGGACTCCCAGAAGATGCGGTAGATGAGATGTATGCCTATCTTTGGGGTTTCAGGGGCTATCCCACTACTTTCAGCCCAAGCTTCCTCTGTGAACTCTTTGCACCGTTGTGATGTTGTCACGGACTAAACTGTGTCCCATCATCATGTGGGTGGGTCTCTCTCAATCAGTTGAAGACCTTAATAGAACAAAGACTGACATCCTGTGAACAAGAGGGTATCAATGGACTAAAGTTGCAATTCTCCCCTGGATATCCAGCTTACCATGCTACTCTGCAGATTCTGTATCTACCAACCTTTTACAATGTTGTGTGAGCCAACTCTTTAAAATAAATCTGTGTGGTAACCATGTTTTAAGATACTGAGGACTGGGCTCCACCTTCAGAGATTCTTTCAATCCATGGATGTGGAATGGGCCCTTCCCTGGTTTTTTAAAATCTGTCAACCATAATGTGGCCAGGGGTGGAAGCTCTGAATGCCAAGGATGCTGAAGCCATCCCCACCCAAACCTCTCAACCATGTCCAATTGCTGCCTCAGTTGATGCTGGATGCCTCTTACTCTACCGAGAGGGAATGGCTACTGCTTTCTTGAAGCAACACGAGTTCCCATGAATTTACTAAGTCCTCATCCCATGTTCCTCACTACTTAAATAGGATTTTAGGCCATGGCGTCAAATGGAGTCAGATTCAAGCATCATTGCTCCCTCTTGATGGGCCAGGAAATGGAGCTGAATTTTAAAGTTTCACTTTTTCTCATAGCTCCTTAGTAGGGCATTTTGTTCCCCTGGATTTATTGTTTAAATAGGTTACACAAAACATTTTGTCTTCTCAAAAAATATATATAATAAATTTCATCACTCTTTATGTGTGATTGTCAAGGAGAAGGAACTTCAGAGACCTTTAGTCAGAGCAAAACAGCAAGCCATAACCAGGTCTGCAGAGGAAGCCCAGATGATGTGCAGCAGCAATTCAGCTGATGACGTGCTTTGGGCTCCCCTGATGCCAGCTGTCGGGCCTTACAGCCTCTCTTCTTACCCTGATCCTAAACCCCCCACCTTGGCTTGGATCATTTCAGAAAACATCTAAGGCAAATGCACCACTAAATCATCTGGCCAGTTTAAACTCAGAAACCTGCTTTTTTGGGAGGAGTGTGGAAAGGAGGGTAAAGCCAAAAGTGAAACACGAATGGCAGAATTGGGAGTACAATAAGAGGGTTAAAGATTAACTAGGACCCAGGGCTAGGGGAAGTGGCCTTTGACCATCACGGCTTTCCCCCTATATGCCAAGATATACCAGGCCCTCAGAGAGGAAAGTTCAGAGCCAACCAAGTGGGGGAAGAAACCAACTGGAGAATCAAACAGGATCCCAAGGGAGGTGATATCAGAGAAAGAGGCTGCAGGAGAACAGGAAAGGAAGAAAAACAGGACAGAGGAGAACCATTCACTGTCAATATCACGTTCACTCATTGCCTCTTGGGATGGATGTGCTATTTGGCAAAAATATGAAAGAATACAAGGAAGCTGTGACAGCCGAAGTGAGAGGTGAAGTGTTTAAATCACTGGCTCTTCTCAGTTGTATTTTTTTCTCTGTTTTTGAAAGTAATACTGTAATTTATTTTTGGTGAATCTGGAAAGCTGTGTGTGTGTGTGTGTGCGCGTGTGTGCGTGTGCGTGCGTGTGCGTGTGCGTGCCGGGGGATGACTCAATCCAGACACATTCTCTAAAAACCTCACTGTGCTTTTTGTGCACAAAAATTCCATTTCCATTGAGTTGTTTCCATTGTTTCCAGAAGAAATGCCTGAGAAATGCTGCAGCTGGCCTGTATGCTCTGAGATGATTCCACCGAAGGATGCCAGCTCACACATGTGGTCTGTGGGTACCAACGTGTGCATCCTAAATTAACTTCAAAATGATACGAGACAGGCATGTGAGCTCTACTGCAGAATGGGAAAACATGCAGAAGCCAGTGTGACCTTCTTTCGGGTGCTCACAGGGTGGTTCCAGCACCGTGCAGACCTGCAGAGCCTCAGCAACATCCCTCACGGGGCTTTGGGTCTCATTTTCTTCATCTGTTATTTCTCTGGTTCTCACCCCCAATTCTGTGTGCCCAGACTTGCCTGGATCATCCTGTTTAGATTATAAAGAATGGTGGCTGTTTGTGAATCTTGGGCTCACTGGGTGACTCTGTCTGGCTGGTCTGAGCAGGTCAGCTGGGCCTCGCAGGTGTTGTCATCTTCAGGTGGATGGATGGAATGTTTTTCACTAGCAGAAGACAACAGCAAGAGCCCCATGAGGAAAGTCATACTGGGGCTCTTATTCATTTATTTAATTTTTTTGGTATGTAGAACTGGGGTGCAGGCCACAAGTATGAGGAGTGAGAGATTCACCAGAGACAGAGTGGGTACCAGAACAGGTGAATGTACTGAAATACGCTGCTGAAGGGAGCAGCGGACAAGTCAGGAGGGGTTTTCTGCACCATGTGTGTCAGCTCCCTCGCCAGGGATGGACCCAAACTGCAGCGGTGATAGTGCTGAGATGTAACCTCTAGGTCACCAGGGAGGCTTTGCGTACTGGAGCTTATTGACTGAGGAATTGCCTTGCAATGCTTTTAAAGAAAAGTAGCTTTTATGTATATATTTTTTTTGATTGGAGAGGTAATGTACAGTTGTGTGTATGTGTGTAGAGTTGTGTGTAACTTGAAAGACAAATGAAAACATAAAGAAATTAAAATCAGCTGTATTTCCATTTCTTAAAAACTATTAATATTTTGTGAGTAATTTAAGTTTTTAAAAGGTAGTACACATATTACTATATTTATAATTTATTAATTTATTTTATAATATATTTTTCTTTTATTTAAATTAATATAATAGTTTATTTTTACATCATTTTGTGCCTTTTGCCGTCGCAGTTGTAATCCCCGTGGGCTTCCCATCACCAAATCACCCACATGCCATCACCATAGTCCAGTGCACTTCCCTCTCCCCACCATTTTTGATCCCACTCCCCACTCCACCCCTGTAAAATGTCTCTGGTATAATATAATAGTTTTGTATTTATTTTTAATATTTACTATATTTAAAAATAATATTTATAACATTTTTCCATAAAACAAGGTATATTTTTTAAGTGTTACAGAAGAGGTCAGCTAGCTTTCCTTTTATGTTCTGGAATGCCCTCAACATTTTGCCATTATCCCTCCCTCTACACCTCATGTTTAATGACTACCTGGAAATTCTTGGAAAGTCGATAAACAAGAATCCTAGAATTTGGGGAACTGAGTGGATCTCTAAGATCCTCTAACTCAGCTGTTCTCAAAAAATAGCCCCCAGGCCTACAGCATCCACACTGCCTGGCACTTGTTAGCATCATGGGTTCCTGGGTCCACACATACCACCTAATCAAATACTTGGTGAGGGACAGCTGGAGCCCAGAAATCTGCTTTCACTCTAGCTGATTCCACTCACCCCTGTAAATCATGTCTCTCTACTAGATGGATGTAACACTGATCATCAGAGAGGGGCAGTGACGTGCCCAAAGCCAGGTGGCCAGTATACAATAGCCTCTGATCTCAGCCTCAGCCTCCAGCCCAGGGTCAAGTCCACTGAGTTGGTTAGGGTCCACTGGATAATGGCTAAATCAAAGGTTGTGTCTGCGTGGAGTTGTTTGTCCAGGGGCCTGGCTTTGTGCATGATTGTCTCTGAGACTTCCTTGGTCAGTTACTTAGGTACTTCCTGCCTCAGTTTCCTCTTTTGTCAAATAAAGTGCACCTATACATAGAATTGTGTAGATGATTTAATCGACCCCCAACACCTGCTGCATAGTTGCACAATACATATAATTCTTTCTAGGACTTTCTCTACCTTCTCAGATTCCTTGACCTGCTCTGCCTCAGCCTGCTCTTCCTGCTGTGTCTGGGGGCTCTGAGTAGAACCACCACCCCCTTAGTTGCTCCAGGTGAGAGACACACTAGCATTTCTTGAGTGCTTCCTGCTCTTCACCCATATTTAGTCAAACTCCCAAGTCCGATCCATGTCTTTGGGCTTCATCATTTCCCTCTGTCTCAACTGCTGAGTTTCTCTCTGGTCTACCTGCCTTCTCTTGGCTCCTTTCTGGCCCACCCTCCACTCTACCTACCATCAGAGACAAATGGCTAGAAACCAATCCAGGCACATTCCACCCAAAAGAGGCAGCAAACTTTCGAGGTAGAAAGTAGATTTGTGGTTTCTGGGGACTGGGGTGAGGAATGTGTGGTAACTGACAATGGGTACTGCTTTCTGGGGTGATGTAAATTCTAGAATTATTTAGAGGTGGTGGTCATTCAATATTCTGAACTTCAAAATGATATAAAATGATAATTAAAAATGATAGATTTTGTGTTATGTGAATTTTATTACAATAAAAAATTGCAAGGACCAAACCTGATGCCATCATTCCCTGTTTTGTCAGTAGTGTGAGCATCAAGTCAATGCCCTTAGGGTGTCATCATTGACCTGTCACTGGTGCCTGGGAACTCAGTTAGGACTTGTTTGCATGAAAATTACAATCTTGTCTTCACTAAGCAGCTTGTAACATTTCCTGGTCTTCTATCCCTTGGACCTCCTGCTGCCAGTGATACCCATTTAGATATGAGTAGTTTTATTTGTTACCCCAACAAGCCTATCTCTAGAGCAGTGCTGTCCAACAGAAATATAATATATGCCATGGTGTCATGCTTCATCTTCTATCAGCTCATTCAAAAAAAGTAAAAAGAAACAGGTGAAACTAAATGTAACAGTATATTTAACCCAACAGATCCAAAATAGTATGAGTCCAACATTTAATCGATATTGTAAAAATTGCTAATGAAATCTTTTACCTTTTTCTCCATGTTAAATCTTTGAAATCTGGGGTGTAGTTCACACTTACAGTCCATCTCAGAGCTGGTGGCCACCATATCACCGAGCAGGGCTTTAGAATGTTCTTTCCTCAGGTTTTTGTCAGGAAAATTCTCATTCCCTCTCAGGCTCAGCAGCTTGTCTCCTAACCCCCACCCCAGGAAGGAATCCTTACCCTCCTGTCTTCACTCCACTCCAGAGGGAGTCTCTGTTCCACACAGCATCCTCCCTGAGGTTCCTTTCTTACATGTCTTAGTATCTTTCATTTAATTTTGCTTTGTTTTCATTCCCCTTTATCCCTCTACCTTTTTTTAACCTCAGAAACCTCATTTCATTTATTAGCATCTGCTAAATTCTATTTTGCTTCATCAGTTCATCTGCTATGACTCCTCATTTTAATCATATATATGTATATATGAAAATGCTCAATATTTATCTTTGTCTTTCTGACATGCTTCCTTCCACATCAGCCCCTGGATTCCTTCCCTGTTGCTTCGAATGGCAATATTTCATCTGCCCTATGGCCAAATATCAGTGGTATTCCATGTGTGGCTAGACTGTGTTCTCTTGATTCAGTCCTCTATCCGCGGACATGTAGGTTGTTTCCATGTCCTTGCTACTGTGAACAATGCTGCAGTGAACACTGTGGACTATATAATTTTTTTACTTCATGGTTTCATGTTCTTTGGGTCGCTGCCCAAGGGTGGGATTGCTGGGCCACACAGGTTTTCCATTTTTAGTTTTTTTTTTTAAATTTTATAACAGTTTATTTTTACATCATTTTGTACATTTTTTTTCCATCTCAATTGTAATCCCCGCGGCCCATCACCAAGTCACCCGTGTGCCATCACCTAATCCCATGCACTTCCTTCCCCACCCCCCTGTTTTTGATCCCATTCCCCACTCCACCCCCGCAAAATGTCTCTGGTTGTTCATTATTTTTGTTATTTTCTCGCCTGGTCCATTATACTCCTGCTATGAGTGAAACCATCCGGTATTTTTCTTTCTCTTTCTGGCTTACCTCACTAAGCATGACCATTTTTAGTTTTTTAAGGAAAATTCAGGTCACTTCCCAAAATGGCTGCTGCAGTTTACATTCTCCTCACCTGTGTCATAGGGCTCCTCTTTCTCCACATCTTCTCCAATGCTTGGAGCTCACTGTGTATTTTGAGTGACTGTTGGCTCCTGTTTTGTCTCTCAATGGACAGTGAATATACCTGAGGGCAGGGGTGATGTCTATTTATCTTGTTGTCCTCAGTGTGAGCAAATGTCAGGTGCATTATACACTTCCCAGAAATGACAGCTGAGTAAATGGAAGCCTTGAGCAGTACTGAAATATACAACATCACTCCTCCCTTAGCCCTTTTCTTATAGCAACTTGATATAGATGTGGAACCTGGAAAGTCACCATTTCTTCTCTTAACAGGCAACATTCCATCATGGCTTCAAGGAAGGCTGTTGCGCAACGGGCCTGGGATGCACACGGTGGGCGAGACCAGGTACAACCACTGGTTTGATGGCCTGGCCCTGCTCCACTGCTTTGTAATCAAATCCGGTAAGAGTCCTAAGGTAGCCCTACTGCTGTGACAAACTTAGTGGCTTAAAACAACACAAATGTATTCTCTTATAGTTCTGGAAGCTGGAAGCCTAAAACTGGGTCTGGTCGGACATCAAAGTCTGAACAGGGCTATGTTTCTTCTGGAGGCTCCGGGAGAGAATCCATTTCCTTGCCTTTTCTTGCTTCCAGATGTCATCTGCATTCCTTCGCCTGAGGTGCCCACTCTTTATTCTTCCTCCCTCTTACTCCTCCCCCCTCCTACTCCCCCTGTCTTTTCCATCATCACTTCTTCAGTGACTCTCATTTCCTGCCTCCCTCTTACAAGGACTTTGTGATGCCCTGGGGCCCACCCAGAGAACCTAGGATCATACATCTTCTCAAAATCCTTCATTTAATCACATCTCTTTTGTCCCATAAATAACCATATTCACAGTTTCCAGGAGTTGGAATTATTCACCACAAGCACAAAGCAATCTGGAAAGGTAGCCAACGTTCTTCTCCAGAGTTTAACTTGCAAAATACTGCATATTCACAATAAGATGGGCAAAAGCTGGTGGAAGGTTGCAGGCTTCAGAGTCAGGTGCACATCAAACCAAACTAGGAAGAGTGGAGCACTGGCAGGACCAGTGCTTGCTGCCACGGGCACCATGAAGCCCAGGCAAGAGTTCAGCATCTCTCCCAACGTGGACACTCAAATGGCTGAGCTGAGGACAGAAAGTAGCAAGTGCCCATAACAGGTAGAAGGTGGAGTTATAAACCTGTGTTGGACATCAAGCTGGTTTATGCTACAACAGCAAGAGCAAAACTCTCAGAGGGCCATAGAGAGCATCATCAGGTTGAGGGTCACATCATGGGAAAATTCGTGTCCAAAAGCCTCAGCTTGGTGACACTTGTCTCTAACCCCCATATTCCAGTATGATTAAACTGTGGTGAGTTTACCTCCCTCAGCCTCTATCGCCTCCTCAGTAAAAACAGCTTGATAGTCTCCCATGAGAGCTGCAGGGGTGACTCCCAAGTACTCTGTAGCAAGGGCTCAGGGGATTAAAAGCCACCATCGCTGTTGCTGAGTTTGAATTCCTGCTCCACCATCCTCAGCTGTGTGACCCTCACTAAGTTACTGACCCTCTCTGAGCCTCCATCTCCCCACCTGTAAAATGGAGCTTCTAGTAGCATAGCTCATAGAGTTGCTGTGGAATTGAGAGGAATTAATGTATCCAGAGCTTTGTATAATGTATACCACATGAAAAATGCTCAGAAAGCACTAGCTATTATTCTCAAGGGATTTACTTCTTTCTAGCCAGACAGCAATTATTTTTTTGCTTGCAGACTCCCTGCTAGCAACTAGCTCTAATGTCTCCTGAGTAGAGACTCTGCCACTGAGCAAATGGCTCTAAACAGAAGTTACCAGTGGTTCTTGGGGGAAATAAATGCTTTTCTGGATGAGGTAGCAGGACCAGTGGGCTCTTTTTGGAAATACCAGCTTCATCAGCTGCCAGGTTTATTATGATGCTTCCTTCATTTCCAGTGCTCACGTTAAGGGGAGCAGGAGCAGTTGTCTTTGCAGAGGCAGACAGAAACTTGAGGGAGGGTGAAGAACTCAGGTTAGGACCTGAGCCCACCTATCTGGAGTAAAGTCTGCACCTGTCCCCTCTCTTCCCCCCAACACGCACACACACACACACACACACACACACAGAGACCAACTGGCAGGTTGCTGAGGTGACTTCTCATAGCTTATGGAGTGGGGATTTCCACATTCTTCCATGAAGGACAAGCAGGGGATGACTGATTGAGCATCACCCACCAAAATTCTTGATGAGCCAAAGAGGCAAGTGACGAAAGTTATTCCACATGGTTTAGAGTTTCTAAAATGTTCTAGTAAATTTTCATACTAAAAAAAAAAGCATTGTTACAGATAAGTAGCTACTTGTATTCTTTATGAATTGGTATGAACACAAGAAGAGAGGCTCAGGAAGACAGCAGTGGCTGTGCCCATAGGCACTGGAACAGAAGAGCACCCTGGGCTATGTGAATAACAGCAGGGGTCAGGAGGTAGATGGCAGGAGCAGGGCTTTGGCCACAGCCTTTGTGGGGTTTCCAAGGGCAAGTCAGGTGACCAACTTAGGACTGGCTGGTTCAAATGATTCTGGTGGTAGGCTTTGGGCAGAAGGGTTATCAGAGTTGTCGCTCCAGGCCCTGGGATGATGAGGGCAGAGGGATGCTGCCCCTGGGGTGTACAGCTCAGACACAGAAAGTTGCTCTGGATTGGTTTATTGGCATATTAAAGACAGGCTGGTCCTTCTCAGCCTCTAACTGGCTGGCTGGTTCAGGGAAGGACAGCCTCTCCCCAGCCAGAATGGCTTTCTAAGATGTTAAAGCATCATGATAAACAAAATTAAAAATAAATACAGTGCAGTAGCATGAGAGAGGTAGTTCTATTTGCAATCTGGAACTGGCTGGAAAGCAGGCAGTAAGGAGAATACACCCATTTACTTGCCCTTCCCTTATCTTGCCCTTGAACCCGGCATGAGTCGAGGGGCAGCCCACTTTGTGCTGAACTCTCCAGCAGATCACTTGCCCAGAGCATGACACCTTCATCACCTGGTGTTAGGGCTGGCCCAAAGGGACACTAGGAAACTCTTTATGGAGCCCAGATGGCACAAACAAGGTCAGGTGTTGGTAGAAGTTCTTAGTAGAAGGATTCAGTCCTTCCCCTGGACATCTCTCATCTTCACTGCAAGGAACACTGGCTGGTCATCAGCCTGAGTGCTTCAAGCTCTCAGCCCCAAACAGCTCTTGAGGAAAGTACTGTGTCATTTTTTACAGATGATTGTCTAAAGCCCAGAGAAACCAAGTCACTTGCCCCAAATGCACCCAGCCAAGAAGTGGCAGCAGACAGATATCAGTCCAAAGCTCTCTGAATCCTGAATCTCCAGTCCTAAGCCTTATGCAATTCTGTCTACCACCTCTCCAGTGCAGTCCTCTGGAGGCTGCCATATTGCCCCCCCTTGGTGTGGCACAGCCTGCCATTTCTCTCCTCTCCTCCAGAACTCTCCATGGCTCCCCATTGTCTAACATGAAACTGTAAGCCAAATCTGCTAATAATACTGTACATGATTCAAGGGCATGTGGGGGGGGGCAAGCAGGGTTCTCTGGATTGCAGAGAAAATCAATTATTTCTTAAAAGGAGGTTTGTGAATCACCTGTCTCAGTATGCCTCCCATCACCTCCCATACTCCTTAAAGTTGCAAAACCCAAGACTTGCCCTTTCACTCTAGGACTTGAATGCCTGATAGCCTGAAGGGTAAGAACAGAGCCTCTGTGTTTCTAACACCTTTCCCTGTCAACTTCGAGCACTCTGAGGCTTCAGAAAACCTCCAGCCTGCTTACCCAGCCCCACCCAAGACCACATTCATTAACGGGCCATTGGAGTTCAGGTTTCTGCCATGTTTTTTTAAGTTTTATTTATTTATGCATACAGAACTGGGGTACAGGCTACAGGTGCAAGGGTGGTGAGAGGATTCACCAGAGACAGAGTGGGGAGCAGGACAGGCAGACTGACAAAGTACATTGTTGAGGGGGGCAACAGGAGAGACAGGAGAGGTCTGCTGCACCATGTGGGTCACCTCTGGGGCTGGGGATCGAAGTTGCACTGAAGTGGCTGCGGCCAGTTTGCAGTACTGTGCTTTAACCCTTTGCGCCACTGGGGAGGGTCTCCCCCTTTCCCCGCTCCCCCCCCTTTTTTTAATACCCAGATGGTTCTAATTTATAGACCGTATGGGACACCTAAAGTATGTCAAATAATGACAAAAACTTTGGAGAAGAAAACAAAACAAGCAACAGCAAAAAGAAAACAGAGGGCATGTGACCTTCAACAGAGACCAGTGGATGTTGCTGTTTCAAAAAAGAACAAAGATTTGAATAAAAGAGCAGAAAAGAGAAAGCTAGTAAAGTGCATATAGGAGTGCTCTTCTGTTTAAATCAAGAATTATTTTAAAAAAATTTTTTAACAAAGCAGGCATAGAAATGAACTCAGCCAGGTCACTCAGATATAGAATATTCAGTATTTTTTCTAAGCGACAAAATTGTCCCACAAACCTTTGAATATGTGAATGCTAAAAGCCAAAGTCACCAAGATTTAGAGGGACAAAAAGCTCTTGAGATGTGAAACCTTTCCAAAGCTAACTTTTCCAATTATTACTCCAAGGTAGCCTTTTGGAAATTTTGCTTTAAAAACAAAAGAAAGAACAAAATCTCCCTATATCTATATACAATATAGATGTTTCTTTGCACATTAAGTCCTCACATATATCATCCAAGTACCTTGGAAATTGCACCTTTAAACAAAATGACCTTTAACACCACGTTCAGTGTGGTTGAGAACATTTTTCTTCTCAATGTCATAACAAAGTGACATTGAAGAAAACAACATATTTAAAGACCTGCTGTATATCTAAATATATATATAAATGTTGACATACTGAGATATATAAATTTTCAAGAGCTCTTTTTATATATGTAAATTCCATATATATATATACACACACAATTAAAATATATATGTATATATATATATTTATACACACATATATTACATAATAGATAATGTTTGTTTGGTGGGGAGGGATATATAATTATATAATATTTGGATTATACATATATTATACATAGATATGTATATTTCTCCCTGTCCAAACTAACAAACAGAATCCAATTCTAGAAGCTTCCAGCAAGAACACATCTATTCACTTGTGTCCTTTCAGAAGGAATGTTCCTCATTGGGATTCCCCCCCAGAGGGTGGTGTAGACTGTTCCCTGGCTCCTTCTTTAGTCTCAACCTCGATGTTGAGCATCATCCTTGAGCAGTTCCAGAGACACATTGTTCTGTGACTTCTGAGCACTTGGCACTGTGAGCTGGATGTTCATAGGAAATAGGGAGCCTGTTGACAACCAGCCTAGGCTAGATGTTTACACAAGCACTTTAGGCAAATCCTCAGCCATTGCCTGTGGATGGCAATCCCCAGAGAGTGACTAGCAAGGGACAGCCTGACTCAAAGGGAGGCCATTGTGGCCCCAGAGTGGGTTCTCTGCAGCACATGGCTGGAGACCAGGGTGTGGTGCCACCAGTTCACACTAGTGTGCTGTGTCCAGGATATTGTTGGAGAATCCAGAATTTCAGCAGCTAGCACTTTCCAAGTACAAGCTGAGTGCCAAGAGTCTGAACTCCTTCTGTCCTCCCATCTCACTAGTGAGAGGCTAGTGACTGGGTTGGATGGGAAGGGTTTTCCCTTGGGTGCTGCTTAGATTCTGTTTCTTGACCAGGATATAATTTATCTGGGTATGTTCAGTCTGGGAACATCCTGTTAAGACTGCATGTATCTATAGGTATATATTGAATAAAAAGAATGGTCATACTGATTGTAGTTGCTCTGTTAGGATCTCCCAACTTATCTAACTTACCACTCATTAGCTGTGTGGTTTAGGGCTAGCTACTTAACCTCTCTGTGCCTCAGTTTTATAAGCTGCAGGGCTGTGGGTGCCCTAGCCCTTTTTGCTTCATGTAGTAAGAAAGTTGAAGCCATCAGATGTTCTATGTTGTTGCTGTTAATCAGAAAATGGCATCATGTTGGGGTTTTTGCTCTTAAGAATATACTTCTAACTGCAGTACTCTGTGTACTTGCAGTATTCTGAGGATTAAACCAGATACATAAAGTGCCTACATAGTGCTTAATACCTATACATTTAAGTTAGCTCTTAGTTCTGTTTTTCTTGAAATATAAAAGGGCCCTGATCAAGAATTTCTCAGAAGTGATTCTCTGTTCATCTCTCTTCTTTAGAATCCACTGGTCACAGTAGCAATTACAGTGGTCGCAATGTAATGGGCATTTTTCTGAGCAATTCTTTTTTATGGGAATAAAACATCCATATAACGCAGCACTTTATACACATTTAATACACTTTATATTAGGGATAGTGTATATTAATAGAATATTATTATATCGTCGTGCTGAAACTAAAGTCCCCAGTATAAATACCCCAACCCTTAGTTCCGAAAATGCCACTTGATGGTAAAAACACATCGTGATAGTACCGAGCATACATAATCTAACTGGGAGCATACATTACACTCAACAAGGAAAGTGTCCTCTAGAAAGAGAAATCAACATAATACCATTTTCTAATTAACAACAAAACAATAAGTCCCCAAGGTTTCAAATTATCTAGCAAGGGAAGCTCAAAGGCCTTGGTCTTAATGGCCACGCAGAACTTACCTCTTTCCCGATGCTTTCAAGTTCCTACCTGGGGCTCCTGCCCTTCCTGACTCAATTACAGGAAGCATCCTCCTCTAAGCCTCTGCTTACAGATTATATAGAAAGAATGAATGGGAACACCCTACTGTCTCTCCTATCCTATTGTGGTTCACATCTACTAATCCTTCAAGAGTGATTTAAGTGAAACCTCCTCCATGCAGCCTCTCCTGATGAATCTGGACATAGCGCAGCCGTTACTTTGATTTTAGCCCTGGAAGACACCACCTACCTTTTCTAAAAGAGTAAGATAACACATTGTGTTGTTTCAAGCTACTAAGTTTGTAGGAATTTGTTACAGCAGCAGTAGGAAGCAAAAATGAGTCTAGAACTATCTGGTATGTTTTCAGATTGGTCTTTATGGATGGGTTTAGGCCATATTTAGATGAATCAGACATCAGCACATGTACTAACTCTATGCAGAATTGGGCGTCAGTCACTGTGGTTGTAATCACTGTCAGCTTTTACTCTAGGGGTTAAAATTGTCAGTGTGGCCTGGATTGAATGGGGCCCTGGGGGAAACCCATTGAGGGTGGGAGGACTTTCAACCTCATCCTTTAAATCTGAACCTAACACTGCCTAGTGATTAATGTGCTGGAAGGTCAATGGACCAGTCAGCATGGGTGATGTGGGGCTAAGTGACTGACTGTGTCTGAGGCTGAGTTCCCTCATACGTGACATGCAACAGTAGCCCTGCCCTATTGTTTGAGGTCTAAGTGAGAAAATTAATAGAAGCACATTCCAGGTACTCCTTATATCTGGCACACATGTTAATAGAGACTGTGCTTATGGCTCACTTTGCCTCCCTAGCCAGATCTCTGGGACCACTGGCTTTGATTTTAAAACCTTATAAAGGTGTCATCCTGGGATTTTTCTGTTTTATCTCTTTCAGGTAATGTCTACTACTTCAACAGGTACCTGGAGAGCAATACCTACAATGCCAACATCAAGGCCAACAAGATCGTAGTATCAGAATTTGGAACAATGGTCTACCCAGATCCTAACGCAAACATATTTTCCAAGTAACTGCTCGTTTTAATTTGGTCATGTTTTTCTATATCCTTGATGGTCCAAACCACCAGCATTTCTCCTTTGACAAATCTCTTTACAGTGCTTGAAGAAGTTTATGAGTAGCTTTTGAACTGTGTAAGCTCTGCAATTCTGGTCACTGAAGGCAAGAGAGACAGAGAGCATCTGATGAAGCGTTAACTATTTTCCCATGTCTGGAGGGGGAGCAATTTGGAATTATTTATCACAATTACAAATGCACCTTCCCTTCTGCCTATAGATAGACTTGTTTGCATCTAAAATGACAAACATGCAAGGTTATTTGTGGCTGCGTCATTTGTTCTAATGAGGAGCTGAAAATAACCAAAATGTTTATCAACAGAGGAGAGGCTGAATAAATAACAGTAGAATTATACAAGAAAATACCAGGCAGATGTGAAGAGGAATGAGGATGCTTTTTATGTACTGGATGGAAATATTTCCAAGATGTACTGTTAAGTGGAAAAGGAGAGTGAGTTTTATTTATAGACATTTGAAATCTACTGGGTTTTGATACCTATGAATATATTTTTTTATTCTCTCATTAAAAATCATTGCCATCAGTATCTCTTTCTTGGTGCTCTCGATAATAGAAGAGCTATGAAAAGTGTTAGAGGTAGCCAGGGATGGAAGACTGCTTTTGCTTTTCCAGAACTGACATCATCTGACAAGTTCCAGGAGCCAATGCTAGGGCTGGCACACAGCAGCCACCGCATTCACATTTGCAGAGCCAGTGAGGAAGGGGGGTTGGGGGGGATGAATGGAAAACCACAGGCTGTGGCTCCTCCTTGCTGTTAGACTATTTAACAGCAGGGGGAGCACTAACAAGAGACTGGCCTGGTGAGCTCACTTTCCTTTTCTCCTGCTTTGTTTGACTTCTAATCAAATTAGTTGTTAGTTCTTCACTCACAATGTGCTTGCTTTCCTTTCAAAAAAAAACAAAAAACTAATTTCCCTCCCTGGTGGCGCAACGGGTTAGGACGCAGAACTGCAAGCTCACCGCAGCTGCTTCAGTGTGAGTTTGATCCTCAGCCCCGGAGGTGACCCACTTGGCGCCACAGACCTCTCCTGACCGCTCGCTGCTCCCGGCAGCTGTGTACTTCATCTGCCTTTTCTGCTCCCAACTCTGTCTCTGGTGAAGCCTCTCACCGCTTCTGCACCACTGGCTTGTACCCCAGTTCAGTGTGAATAAATAAATCTTTAAAAAAAATTAATTTCCTAAACAAATTTGAGGTACACAATGGAGACTCACATTCCTACCCAAAATGTGGATGTTTTGCCAGTCTCTGAATACTATTATAGATACATGTATATTCTTTGTAGGGTTTCTTAAAATACTTGGGAATAATTCACAAGCTCTTACTGGCTCTGGTTTGGGAGATCTTTGGAATCTGAGGAGCCTAGGAAGGCTGGATTGGCAGTCATATTTCCTGGATGACTCATTTAGTTGATTCAACATAGTGGTACCTTTGGGTAATTTCATATCTGTGTCCATAGGGTGGCCCACAGGGATACAGTACTTTTTTTGCCCTTGGTTGAAATAAATCATTTTAATTGGTAGGGAAAAAAATCATCTAGAGTAGAACTTTCCAGCAGGGTGAGCACTGACCCCTATTGGTTTGCTTCCTTCCTCAGAGCTTTCTCCTACCTGTCCCACATGATCCCTGATTTCACAGATAACTGCCTGATTAATGTCATGAAGTGTGGAAAATACTACTATGCACTCACAGAGACTAATTACATCTGGAAAATCAACCTACTGGATCTGATGGTTTGTGAGAAGGTATTGTAAGCCTACAACTAGCATCTGTTACTGACTCAAGAAGGGGACCCCTTGGGTGAGCCCAAGTGCCTACAGGAACTCCAGGGCAAGCCCCCTCCTCTGAAGCCTTTGGAGCTTGAACTTCATGAACATAGCACTTAGCACTAAACTCTAAGTTCCCTTAGAGCTGGGACTGTCACTTTCGTCTCTGTTCCTTGGGCGACTGTAATAAAATATGAAGTTTTGACTCTCACAATTCTGGAGACTAGAAAGCTGAAGTCAGGTTGTTGGCAGACTATATTCTTTCTGTTGGCTGTAGGGGAGGATCATTCCTTGCCTCTTCTGGCCTTGGTTGCCAGACATCCTTGGTGTTCCTTGATTTGTAGATGTATCATTTCAGTTTCTTTTGAAGATACAAATCACTGGATTAAAGCCCACCCAATCCAGTGTGACCTCATTTTAATTTGAATGCACCTACAGATACCTTCAAAGATCCACATACAGGTACCAGGAATTAGGACTTCTACATAGCTTTCTGAAAGGGACAGCACCCCATAAAATTGTCCATTGACCTTAGCACTGAATGGACACTCACTGGGCATTTGAATGAATGACTTTGCTGGAATGACCAGGATTCCCAGAAGTCCTACCTCATATTGACCTGAAGAGGGTGGCATTAGGCAGAGAGCAAGGATACAAAAATAAGTGCCCAAGCAGATACTTTTCCTGGGCAGAATCAAGTCAACATTTTTGCGAAAATCAATAGACCCACTTACAGTCTTCTCCAGCTGGGTGTTCAAGCCTCAGTGTCTTCACAGTACATTTTAATGATCCATTAAGAAGAGTGCTTTTCTTAGCTGTGAAATTATGCCCAGCTCCTCTCAAGCTAGGCAGCACAGATCCTACTGACGTATGCTTTTACAAAACTACAGCGAGGGAGCATTAGGACAGCGGAAAGCACTGCCCGATCCTCACACTGGAGGTTGTGCTGTTTAGGGAGGAAGGACAGAAAGCTGTGCCCCATTGTCCTCTAAGGGAGGCCTGTTGGCAGCTGGGTCATTACAGAGCTTGTTAATCAAGTTTGCTTAACCAAAATTTCTGGTTACATCTCCATTCCCAGAGTTACTGTCAGAGACACCTGGAGATTTATGCCTCTGTCAAATGCAAAAGAGGAGAATTTAAACAACGTAAGCAGAAAGACATGGAACAGTTCGCTCTGTGGTCACCTCTCTGCCCAGATCATTGCTCAGAACTCCAAATGGTGCCATGCCCTGTCTCCATGGGAGCAGACACCTGGCAGGGCCAGGCAGCAGGGTGGGAGGAGCACCTGTCACACAAAGCACATGCAGGCCACTCGTGCCCCCCCACCCTCCACCCCCCCACCCCAACTGCTTACATATTGGAGGTCTCTGTGTGGTGATATCAGGTTACGAGTGTAAACATCCTCTTTCAAGGTGAATGAAATCTCCCTTATTTTCAGCTCAGGAGTGCTGAAAAAAAATTCATCATCTCTCTGAACCTAAAATTAATCTTTTCACAGTATTTCACCTTCTCCCTTTTTTAAAGTCAAGTGGTTGTCATGTTTTGCAGATTGATTATCGTAAACATGTGGGTGTGAACGTGGCCACAGCGCATCCTCATTATGATGAGGCTGGAAATGTTATTAACATAGGCACATCCATCATGAACAAGGGGAAGACAAAATATGTGATATTTAAGGTCCCTGCCACCGTGCCAGGTAGGTCACTGGGAGAGATAAAGAAGCTTGGTACCTTCCAAGAAGCTCTGGTTTTTGTTGATAACAAATTCAATCTGACAATTTCCCTCACAGGTGGTTTGGGTGACCATGACCTCACTTTTCTCCCTTGGAAAGACAACTTACTGGCAGAAATGAATCCTGTTACTATTCTAACCTTTTCTTTAGGTTCCAGTTCATCAGTTAATTTTTTAAAATTATTTATATATATATTACATCATTCTTCATTTTTGTACAATGAATGCTTTCTCTCAGGTGTAGTCCTTGTGAAATTCCCACCACCAATTCACCCATGTACTATCAAATGTATCCATCCATCCATTCATATTCCATCCACCATTTATCCTATTTATATCTTTTCCTTAGGCTCCAGTTCACTCATTTATCCATCATTCATCCACCCTGCCACCTCCTATTCATGCATCCATCCCCCTCATTTACCCATCCACTTATCCACCCTATTACCCACTCTTCCTTCCCTCTCGTGTTTCCTCCCTCCCTCCCTCCCTCCCTTCATCCATCCTTCACGCCATGCATATTTTAGTCATGTAACACATCTTCATATGTTAGCGTTGTTCCATCCACTTTTATCCCAGCCCCTGAAGCCAAGCTCCCAACTCTCCCAAGTTGTTCAGGGAGCTCAGCTCTGCTGGGATCCACTCCAGATCTCCACCCTGTTCTCTGGGCCTTCTGGACCTTCTCCATGTAGGGCTGGGAAACAGGCTGATTGTGATTGCATGTTGCTGAGGGGGAGGAGGGAGGGGCTCCTAGCCCTTATTTTCCAGGACCCTTCTGGGAACCACACCCCAGAGGCCAGGCCCCCAAGGCCTGGAGATCATGCAGAACGACAAGGGTGCTCGGCCTGACCTTCTAGTTTTGGAAAACTGGTTTCTAGCTGTGATCCTACTGCTCCCCCTCCCCCACAGGCCTGTAGAACTTCCAGAGCAAATTAGCAGGCTCGGCCAGCAGATGTGCGTCCCCAAGGTCAGAAGGTACAACAAGTATTATAGTTAAATGGACTCCCATTAATTAAGCCAATAGAGGGATACAGGGCCTAGCTGAGAATGCCATTGCAGCCTGGGCCACTTGAGTTCTGGGCACCTATTGCAGAGATGGACTGTGAGGGCACCCTTCCATGGGCCTGCAGCTCACAGGAGCCACCAGCACCTCCTCTGAGCACCTGCTTCATGCTGGGGGCCTCCCTGGGATTCATGGAGGTGCCCTGCCTCTCAGCCAGGCTGCTTCTCATTTCGGTTTGCTTTGTGCTGCATTTGTTTTGTGAAGAAAAGAACTTCCCCACAGCCCCATGGCATCCCACCCACCACTGCTGTTTATGGTGTGCCCAGGTGGCCACAAGAAAGGCAGGACGCTTTGCCGATAACTCATTACCAACCTGCCCCAGGTCTGGGCGGGGAGGCCTTCTGGCCGGTGGTGACTCACCCCAGCAGAGGCTTAAGGAAACCCAGTGTGTTTTGAGTTGCTTGGGTATTTGGGCCCCAACACCCAGGAGGAGCTGCTGACAGTGCTCCACTATTTCTTCCTGTTCTCTGCGTGATAATCCTAAGGAACAGGGTAGGTAGCCACACTAAGGGGCTCTGTCTCCTGGCCCAAACCCTGAAAATTTGGCCATCACGAGAGGGACCATTCTACCAAACCTCAGTTTCCCATATTTTAAATGGGACCCACACAGCTTCCCTCAACTGTGACAATATATTATTAGCCCCCACCACAGCAGGCCCTGAGTTCATTGCCAGTGCTTCTCATGGGCAGTGCTGGGAGCCTCACGAACACCCTAGGAAGGGCATGCCAAAATATGGGGCGCAACCAAACAGAAACCCACATGCCTGGAATTGAATGGAAATGCAGTGTGCAAGCCCAGCCCCATCCCACATACAGATCACACCTCTCAGGTGGCCAGGACCCCCCAGGACCCAATGCTCATTCAAGTTTGAGAAGCCTTGCTCCAGGCAGGCCTGAGGCCCTCCTTAAGGGACAGGAGAGTAAATATTTGAGCTTGGGCCTTTGTAGTGGAAAACAAGCAGCTTGAAAGGATCTGTAGGCTGGGGCAGGGCTGGGGTAGGCTCTCTCGACCTTACACAGCTCTGGCTGAGGACCACAGGCTGTCCTGAGGACCTCTGGCCCAGAGGCTGGACTCTGGTGAACTAGAGGGAGCGGGGCTGAGTGGGAAGGGCTCCAGGCTTCTCTCTCCTCCCCACGCCCCTGCAACCAGGCAGTACCCCCCTTTCCTCCTGCTCACTTGTCACCCTTACTCCAAGGGGGCCCTTGGCTACAGGGTGGGTTTGAAAGACCTGGGTAGGGGTGTGAAGTCCAGGCAGCCTGACTGGGTCCTCCTCCTTACTTCTCCCAGCAGGCAAAAGGAAGAACTGCTGGAAGCACGCGGAGGTGCTCTGCTCCATCACCTCCCGCTCCCTCCTCTCCCCAAGCTATTACCACAGCTTTGGAGTCACAGAAAACTACATCATTTTTCTTGAGCAGCCCTTCAAGTTGGATATTGTCAAGATGGCGACAGCATATGCTCGGGGAGTGAGCTGGGCGTCCTGCCTGACCTTTCACAAGGATGACAAGGTAAGGCCAGGCTGGGCCCACACAAGGCATGCCACCAGATCAGGGTGTCCCCAACAGCAGACTCTGAGGTAGAAGTCAGCACGCAGACGGGAGGGAAGGAGATACCATGCAGTCTTGGGGCTACCAATATCTGAGCTCCTGGCAGCCTCTATCATCCACTGACAAGACGTTCCCATATCTCTGAAGCCAGCGTGTAATGTCAGGGATCAGAGAAGAAGGGCCATAGATAATTTAGACATCATAGTGATAGAAAGCTCTGTTCAATGGCACAACAGAACCATCATCACTTCAGATACACCCAGTGCCCAACGGATGCCCATGTGTGTGTGCACACGTGTGTTTGTGTGTATGTGTGTCCATAGGCCTGAATCATTGCACATGTGTGTGCATATATGTGTATGTGCACAGGCATCTGTGTAGATAGATATGGATACACATAAATGCATTTACTTTTTTCCTGTTGTTACTTGTGACATGTATCAAGTGATTTCTCAGTGGATTAAATACTTAAATATTTAAATAATACACAAGCATAGAAAGCAATGTGCCACATCCTCTTCTGCCTTCCCATCCTCTGCCTCCTTCAGAGGAAAACATCACCCTCCTTTCATCTTCTTCCTCCTCTTCTTTCTAGGCCTCATGTGCATCTTTATGTCTCTGTCTCAGGTACTTGCCCTTCCAGTCCTATCCTCTCTCCTCAATGAGGAGAGTGAGATGTTTGAGGGAACAAAGGGACTATGTGAGGTCCCTCTTCTCAGAATCTTTTAGTTGCTTCCATCTTCCTCTGAATACTATCCAAAGGCTTCACTCACCAGCCTGTATATCCCCACACGCCCTTGTCCCCAGCACTGGCCACCTGCTCCCTCAACCTTCTGTGTCTCCTGTATCTCAAACCAGCCAAACACATTCCTGCCCCAGGACCCTTGCATTTTCTGCCCTTTCCATCTGCCTTGTTTCTCTGCAGATGTGTTTTTTCCCTCTGTATCCAGGTTCCCAGGTCCCTGATGTCTGAGGCCTTCCTTGATGGCAACTCTTATAAGAGCTCCACCTGGCTTTCTCCCCCACCACCCTGCTCCACTTCCTCATTGTCTCACATCCTGGCAAGGTCTATGCTGGATCTTTGGTATCAGCCTCACCCCCACTGGGATAGAAGGTCCATGAAAGCTGGGGTTAGTTTTATTTTGTCTCCCCAGTTCCTGAAGTAGCTGACTTGTCAGAGGCTCTCTCTGTGTGGGCAGGTGGGTGAGTGGTGTGAGGATCTAGCAAGGCAGCCAGCTGAAGCTGGGTTTGCCTCACAGTCATTTCCCCAACATGGCTGAGAGCCCCTGAGGGCAGGGCAGATGGCTCTGGAGATAGCTTTGGAAGGAAACTTTCAGAAAAGTCCTTGTAGCTGACCTGGGGATTGGGATAATGGGAAAGAAAATGCATAAAATAATCATCCCTGTATCCTCTCTTCATACCTGACCCCTCGCTCCCTATGGTTCTATCAAAGCCTTCCTCTTGCTTCTGGGACTAGAGAGATAGAGCCAAGTATGCCAGAAGGAGACAGCCAGAGAACAGCCTGGAATGTCCCTTCATCTCTTGTAGAAGGAAGGTGGTTGAGCCAGAGCTACCCAAAGAAAGAAACACACACACACACACACACACACACCTGCATGCATACACATATACACAGGCATAACCATGCATACACACATACATACACACACACATACACAGAAACACAAATACATGTATGCATGTGTACTCCATACATGTATGCACATGCATACTCACAGGAAGGCTCCCTGACAGGCATGCATACTCTAACACACACACAAATACACACCGGTGTGCACACAAACGCAAGGCTTTCGTATGTACATGCACACTGACACACACAAATACACATGCACATTCATACACATACACACTCTCACACATCTTCCCTTTTGGATTTGGAAGCTGGAACTGCAGGCAGAGCTAGTCAAGCCCAGAGCGACACTGCCTTATGACATCCAGGGTGCGTGTGGAGCCCTGAGCCCCACGCGGGCTCCTTCACTAGAACCCAGCATGCACACAGCAGTTCTTCAGGGCAGGTGGTTGCTGCGGCAACCACATCAGGATAAATCAGAAAAGGCATTAAGAAACAAGGTGTGGTTTGGGGCCGGGTGTCTAGAAGGACAGGTAGGCTATAGGGTTTTAGGGACCCTGGCTATGGATGAAGCCCAGCAAGACCTAGAGCTCTGGCACCTGCAAGGTTCTCCCCCACTTGGCCATTGCCACGGAGCTGACATGTTGCCACATGATGGTCAAGTGGAGGAGGAGGGACAGTGCACCCTTAGGGGTCTCCCCCAAATACTGTCTTCCTGGTAAGACAGAGGCCCTATGGTGAAGCTTCCCTCCTCTCAGAAAGAACTGATCATGCTACCACTGCCACTTCCAATTTCTGAAAACTGCTTGGCTGGCCCTCTAGGGTGGCTCAGGGCCACCAGCTAGTTGGTGTGTGGGTCTCACCCCGTGTCCTATGCCCCTTGCTGGGTCATCAGAGGAAGAGCTGACCGCTGGGTGTTCCTCTTCTTTCAGACTTACATTCACATCATTGACCAGAGGACCAGGAAGCCTGTTCAGACCAAGTTCTACACGGGCCCCCTGGTGGTCTTCCATCACGTTAACGCCTATGAAGAGGACGGGTGCATTCTGTTTGATGTTGTGTCTTATGAGGACAGCAGCCTTTATGATTTCTTCTACTTGGACAACCTGACCCAGAAGTTCCAGGACAACGTCAAGCCCAACTCCATTCCTACCCTCAAGAGGTTCGCTGTGCCCCTCCACGTGGACAAGGTAAGGCTTGAAAAAGGCCCATTTCACTCCTGGGGAGATATGGGCACACCTGGGAATTTGCTGGTGACCTCTACTTTAAAAAAACAGAAAATATCTTTATTGTTTTTCCAAAAGTGACAGATAGTCATGTAGATACCTTAGAAAATATAATTGAGTAAAATGGAGGGAGGGAATCACCATAAATCTATTGTGGATATATTTGTATTGCACCCCCCAAGTTTCTATCTCCGTATATAGAGATGAATGAATATGTGTAATATGTACATATTGGTATATATCTATAAAGCTGTTAAAAATTATGCGTAGTATGATTCCTTTCTCTAAAATTAAAATATATATCTATATATAATTAAAGTATATCTACCTAGCTATATAAATAGATCTATATGTTTTAATTATTTAAAATATGTATCTATATATAATTTAAAAATATATTTACATACTTTATGTGTTAATTAAACAAATTGATTGACTTAATTGGGGACAGAAATGACAGCTATGATCACCACAATATATGTATTGATTATTTTAAATATATCTCTTAAAATATATACATATATTTGACACATATTTCTATATATTTCTATAGACTTTAATTATATATAGATTATGTTTTTTTAATTTTAGAGAGAGGAATAATACCCTGTGTATTTTTTTTTTTTAAGATTTATTTATTCATTCATACAGAGCTGGGGTACAGGCCAGAGATGCGGAGGGCGAGAGGATTCACCAGAGACAGAGTGGGGTACAGAACAGGCAGATCGACGAAGTACACTGCTGAGGGGAGCAGCGGGCGGGTCAGGAGAGGTCTGCCTCGCCATGTGGATCTCCTCCGGAGCAGGCAGGAATTGAACTCATGCGGAAGTGGCTTTAGCTTCTTAGTGCTGTGCTTCAACCCGCTGCGCCACCAGGGAGGGCCCATACCCTGTGTATTTTAACAACTTTTTTGAGATATAATTTACATGCTACATACTTCACCCATTTTGGTTCATTCAGAATTGTGCAACCAGCACCATCTTTCTCCTCTGTCACCCTTTAACCATCAGCTGCTGTTCCTTCATTCCCCAGGCCTAGGTCATCTCTCTATTTCCTTTCTCTGACGATTTGCCCTCCTGGGCATGTCCGTATGAAGCGCTACATGGAGCGTGGCCCTTTGTGGCTGGCTGCTCTCACTGAGCACAGGGTTTCCGGGTCCGTCTATGACCTGAATCTGTCCTTGATCCCTGTTTTTGGCAGAACATGAACACACTTTTTGGTGTTTTTCATGTATTTGTATATCTCAAGCTCTTTCCCTGACATTAAATCTTCCTTTTAACATCATTTTAAACATGTGTCTGACAGCCCATGGCAGGAATGTGTAACCATTTGCTCACTCGGTGCCTTACTGTTGAGTAGCCCCATTCTTGCATTAAAAATGACCACTAGGCCAGATGTTACTCTCAATTAAGGAGATGCTCACCAGGCCTTGGGCTTGGTTTCAGAGGCTCCAGAGGCTTCTGGCTCTAAGGACTCACTGACTTCATGCTTTAATTAATTTAAATGAAACTGAATTCAGTGCAATTACATTTTGATGGCTCATATTTGCTAAAGGCTCTGTATCTTCCAGGCACTTTGCTAAGCGTTTTATTTTCGTTACCTCATTTAATGACCAAAACAACGTATGGGAAAGGTCCTCATATTAGCGTCATTTCACAGATGAAAAAACTTGCTAGGCTTGCAGAGGTTAAGGTCAGTCGCAAGGTCACTCAGCCAGTGTGGCAGAGGTAATATTGCACCTGCACCAGCCTTTCCCTTGAAACATACTGTAACTGGGAAGGTGTGTAAGTCTGCTGTTCTCCCAGGAGGGCTGACTCCTAGAAAGAGCCCCCAGATAGGACCCACTGACTGTCTTAAGGCCTGGGAAGTAGAGGAAGCTCCTGCAGAAGGCTGGGGTGTGGGGTAAGGGGTTTAAAGGACTTCTTCACCCTCCCTGAGGGGCTGTTTTATGCAGGATTCAGCCAGTGAACAGGTCAGTGTCAGAGCCCAGGTTTGTCTGACTACAGACTTAGAGAGAACTCCCCTCTGTCTAGCATTTCCCTATTGCAGTCATTGTTTATCTCTGTCTTGATGTTTGCTATACTTCCTGATCATCTCTCTGTAGCATTTACAAGATCATGATTTTGCTTAAGTCAACTGGCTCATTACATAACAGGTTTGAAAGGAAACATCACTAGCCAATGGAAAGCCAGCAGTGTCGGCTGCAGACAAGCATGGGCATAAAGCAGTGGAAATAAAGCAGAGGTCTTATGCCCTAGCAGACACTGTTGCTTGCCAAGACCTGAGCTCTGTCAAAAAGAAACTTTTAAAGCATTGGGTGTCAAAGGCATAGTAGCACATAGCAGAGATCTCTTCTTGACCCCAGACAGAAAGATTGGAAGAATATTTCTACCTGTGTGATTCAGGGCTTTTGAATGAGTGGCTGTGTTCCCCCACAATCATCACTTGGGCCCCTGACCCAACACCCCTACACCCTTACTCTGGGAAGTATCACAGTGTGGTTGGTGCCTTGGGTGGCATCTCCAGATTCCAGGGAGCTGTGGGGGTGTCTCAAAGCAAACAGGTGGAAATCACGAGGCCACACCCCACCTCACGCCAACCTCAGCTGGGATGATGCACTGAGAAGAAACACTCCCTCCCACTACCCACACACCAGGGGATTTTATAACCTTTTATCAGTCTCGAGAAGTGATTTCCTTCCTAGGAACCAAGCTAAGAAGTTGAGCACATACATTTTAAAAATAAGCAATCTGCTGCCCTGAAACAGTAAAGAGCCAGCCCTGGGAAAGGTAGCTCTGGTCATGCTTTTTAATTGCTTTTTATTGTCCCTTAAAAATGTCTTCTTGCTTCACTTTCAAGTCGCCCCACCTGCATATTGAAATTGGAAGGTCAAGCAGGCAGACGTGGCCTCCATGGCCAGATGCAGGCTCCCATTCTAGCCTTTCCAAAAAGGCTAATTAGGGACTTGAGCATGGGTGATGCCACCCTTTCTCAGTACCTTTCTCGTTCAGCCTGGGGTCTTTGCACCACCCTGTTTTCTGCCCACTGTCCTCCCAGCCTAACCTCAGGCAGGAATCTCCAAGAACATGCCTGTGCTCAGCTCAGGCCAATGGAGGCAGTACCTGCAGGGATGGGGCCCGAGGAAGGTATGGTCTCAGAGCCCCCAAGGGATTCCTAGGCCAGTCAGGAAGAGTCTCAGAGTCTGGCCACTCCTGCTCAGGCTGCAGGCCCCAGTGTCTCTACTGCCCTCAAGTGAGTTTGTACAGCCTCATGGCACCCGCTGCTCCTGGCTCAACGTTAACTCAAGTATAAGGACCCTGTTCAGTCCCTTCTTCCTGTGGAAGCTCAGGGAGGCCAGGACTCTGTCTTGTCAGCAGTTTGTCCCCTGAACCTATGCCAGGCTTTGGTTCTCATTTTAAATGAATGAAAGAAAACCATGAAGCAGCCCCCCTAAAAGGACATGGGGTATTCCTGTAGCGCTTGGAAAATTTCCCAAGTGGAAAGTGCTTTCCTCACAGAATGGGCCAGAGTAGAGTAAATTTAAAGCCTGGATTCTCCCAGCTGCCCCAGATTCTCTTGCATTTGGGCCAGCAGGGGTCAACAGAAGGGAGGGCCTGTTGGCACCCTGTACCTGTTTATGTAGGGTGTGCGGGGGCTGTCTAAGGCAGGGCTCCCCTGGGAGGGGCTTGGGTGTGTGTAGCAGTCCCAGGGCTGCCTTTTCTGGCCCTGCCTCTACGTGGGGTGGGGGGGCCTTGAGCACCTGACTTCACCTGCAGCCATCACGTGGGCCCCAGAACTCACTTAGTAAGTTTGCTGTGTGTCTCTAGATGCAAAACTGAAGCTTTAGTAACAGGAAAAGCTGCTGTTCATACTGCTTGCACTATTTACTAGGTGCCATGTATCAGGCTTTTTCTGCTCTTAGTCCCTGACAAGAGTGCCTTGAGTTCTGGGCCTTGGCACTTTGTAGAGCCCTGATCTGGCCTTTCCTTACCAATATCCCTGACCATTAGGGGGTGGGGGGGGTAGGAGGAGGGAGTTGCAGGATCAAGGGGTGATGCGCATTTAAAAGGACTCCTCCCCCCAGTCATGAACTAGACACTTGGGGCTCTGAATCCCCAGCTCAAGAAGCTGCTTCCAGGGCCTGCCTCTACATTCCTCAAGGCAGGTGGTGTCCACCTCAGCACACGAGGGGACCAGGGCTACTGTTGGTTGGTGATGTTAGCAGGACAAGGGGCAAGGAGAAGGGGCAGGGGTGGGAATAGGGAGCACAGTCTGGAGGCAGTCTCCCATCTGCCACCCTCTTCCAGCTCAGAATGCCAGGAGACCCCCAATTCTAAACTCACACCAGTCCTTCCAGACTGGTGTTGTGGATAGAATTTGCCAAAATGAAAACATTCTCTCTGTCCCATACAGTTGCCACCAGCCACTTACGCTGTTGAACTATGGTCTATGTAGCAGGGGAATTGAGTTTTTGATTTGACTTCATTGTCATTTAGCATTACACCAAGTGGTTTGCCATGTTGGCCACTGCAGTGCCTCAGCATTCTGAAGCATGATGTTTCAAGTAAGGGGAATGAACAGTTTGCTTGAAATATTTGGACATAGGGTTGGTAGACATCGTGGGTCCTGTAAATTTTAGGCATGACTGAATGCTTTGCACACTTCTCGCCTAATTGGTAGGACATCCCTCTGAGTTATTTATCATTCCCATGACTATAGAGGAGGGAGAAAGGCCCTTGCTGACAATGCAGAATTATCCATGGGATTTGAGTTGGGACTGGAAGGCATGTCTGTCCTGCCCCAAGCTAACGACAATGTGCCTGGCCCTGGACCCAGTGTTTTCATAACCAAGATTTAATTTAATCCTCACCATAATCCTCAGACACAGGTCAAGGCAACCTCGCCTCTCTTCACCTTGTACTCACCACCCATCCCAAAACTATAGCTCACCCCTTTATTTTATATACAGTGAAGCAGGCTCCAGGAGACCCAAAGGTCTGATCAAGTTTATAAAGGCAAGGAATCAGATCTCACACCCAAAGTCAGTGGTAGGGGGTGGTGGGGATGGGGGGGGGTAGTGAAATGCTGCTGTTTATGGGAGTTTCCTCAAGTTTAGGGCTTTCAAAGCAAGCTGAAGGATTTGTAAAATTCTGGCTGGAATTTTACAGCTGGAATGCAGTTTCTTCCCAAAGCTGAGCATGTCAGCCGCCGCAAGCAACCGAGTCATGTTGGTTACTGCTGTGTGTGGAAAAATTCACAGTTTATCCCTCGACCAGTCTGACCAGTTTCAGGCTGGAGTTACAGGCCTGCTCTACAGATCGGCTTCCTGAGAATCAAGCCTGGGACATGCACAGGAGGCCAGTTGCTGTCACGTGCCTACCCAGGCACTGGGCAGGGCCTCCCGCTGAGGTGGTGTCTGGGGAAGGAAGGTGGAGGCGTTCAGACTTGTGTTTATCAGACAGCAGTGATGTGCCGAGCACTGGGCGACCGCTTCTCGCACTTCACCTCATGAATGCTTAATCACCACCCCGCAGAGCACATGTTTTGCCCCTTGGCAGTTGAAGGAAAAACTTAGTGAATCACCCATTCATCCCACAATTACTTCCTGAGGGCTGACTGTGTGCCATGCATTTGAACCAAATCTGGTCTCTCCATTTAGAGGGGAGAAAGCGTAAAAGAAGGAAGCAGCATCATAAAGGCGATAATGACAGCATGGGACAAGTGTCTTGGAGATTCTGTACATTGAGTTCTTTGGGGATATTTGCTTAGAGACCGGCCGGATGAAACCCACCAACAACACCACGGCCTTTGCGCCTGCCCCTCCCTCTGCCTGCAGTGCCCCTGTTCTGAGCAGAAACATTGTGCGGCTAAGGTCTGGGCCAATGCTCTGCTTCTCCCAGTAGCACCTTGAAAAGCCACTTTCCTTCTCCAGGCCCATTTCCTCTTCTATAATCTGAGGGTTTGAACCTAACAAATAGCCAAGGGCTCTTCAAGCAAATTTTCCTTCTCACCTGTTTTTGTTTGAATAGGTTTTGTTTTCAAATAGTTGCATTATTAGAACCTATTTAAAAAAATTTTTTTAAATAAAACAGTAGCAGAAAGTTTAAACAAGAGGTCAGCTGTACCAATAAATCTCCCCTGTGAGTTCTGTGAAGTCCACGCCTGTGGTCTTGCTCCTCCCATCCTCCCCTTCCTAAGCTGAACCCGTCCCAGGGGTAGTGGCTGTAACATGATCATAAAAAAACAACAGCGATGTGGGGGGCAGCAGCAAACATCATCTGGCTCCTCCTGTTAGCCCCATCCTCTTGGGAGCCTCCCATCAGACGACCTGATTGAATCCGTGCAGTTCCTCAGCCATGCCTGTGCTGCACCTCGTTCCATTGATGCAGAAACAAGATGCTAGTGACTTGTCCGAGGTCCCAGAGCTGCTCTGTGGGAAAACAGGGAATAGCAGAGGCTCAATAAATATTTCATCGGTTGTGTTCAAGCCCTCTCCAGGGTCACGGATGCTATGGATGGTGAAGTTCACCCGAAAGAGTGAGGTCTCCTTGTAACTTGACACCAAGGAATGCCTATGAAAGATGGTTTTCTCCCAAGTAATTGCTGTGGCATGTGGGTTTTCTTTTCAACAGTGATTCCTTTTCCGAAAATTCTGGATGTACAAATAAGCATAGAAAAAGAAATGAAATCTACCAGCTATATTACTATTAATATCTGGTCTATTCCTCCCAGACTCTCTTCAGTGTACATTTATGTGAACGAGGTTGAGCTCAGATGGCATGTGCAATTTGCTCTTTCCACGCAGCATGTGTGCACAAGCACTCCCCATGTCATTATGAGCTCTTTCTAAACAGCATTTTCTGTGTGAATCATCCGGTATTTAAAAAGTGAGAACTTCTTGCTACATTACTTTCACCTGTGAGGGATGAGGTGGCCCCAACAGAGAGTCAGGGATTTGGGGCCTCTGTCTGACCACCTCCAGCCTTGCCACCTTGGGGAGTCACTTCAAATTGCTGATCGTCACTTTGAACTGAGAATAAAAACACCAAAAATAGAGTAGTTGCTTCCTGTGGTTAACGTGAGCCCAGAGCAAGCAAAAGCGTTTTTCCAGCATGAACAGGAGGCTAGATAACACATTTTCATGTTTTGGGGAACTAAATCTTCCAGGATGCAGAAAAAGGCTCAAATTTAATCAAACTGGCATCTACAAAAGCAGAAGCCCGGAAGGAAGAAGATGACCAGGTCTACTGCCAACCAGAGGTGCTCCATGAAGGTAAAATGAAGGTGTCCTCTCTCTGCTTTCAGGGGCGGGCAGAATTTCAAATGATCCCTGTTCTTTACATGATACCTCCTTCCATGCAAAGAACCTGTAAGGGGATGAAGGGGGTGAGATGGAGGGAGCCTTGGGATGCCCCCCAGTGGAATGCATTTGTCTTCTGTCCCTTCAGTCACCCCCACAGGAAGACTGGAGTGGACTTTCATGGAGGGGCCCCTGTTGAAAGCTGTAGTGTATAGAACAGGCACAGCCCACTTAGTTTCTTGCCCGGCCCTACAGAGTAGGTGCTATTTGCCCCACTATGGGGAGCGATGGGCCATTAGAAGGTCAGGCCACAGCCGCACAGAGTGTCAAACACAGCAACTGGTGCTTCTGAAGCCAGAGCCGCAAGAGATGGAGTCTGGTGGTTCTTTGGAGTTGGGAGCTGGACACAATGCGGTGTTGAACATCTCCCTGGTCTTGACCCTGCTAGGTGCCAGTAGCACCCCCACCCGGAATTGGAACCACTCAAAACGTGCTGAGACATCACCAGAATCCCATGGGGTGCTACCACTGCCCTAATTGAGAGCCACTGGTCTAGAACACAAGCCTATGAGGTGGTGCCCTCATTTCTGTGTCCAGCCTGTCACCAGTATGGGAAAATCCTAGCTGAGAGAGTTATGTGCTCAACATTTGTGTGGGGAACAAAATATTGGTTGAGGAGCGCACAGCTAGAGAGCAGTCTGTGGTCCAAACCGAGACCCTTCCTGCATCGGCTGCCCCACGCCTGCCTGGCACCAGTATCTGCAAGACACAGTCCTGGGGTATCTCCTTGGGGATTTGCCCACCAGACATCACTTCTGTCAGCAGCACCCCATGGCACCCAGAATGGGTCTCGGCATTTTTCAAACAACATTACTGAGACTCCTCCTAGGTGTGGAGACATCAGTTTCCATCTCCACACACCTGCCATAGGGTATGGGCAGATGCAGGCTTCCAACGTCACACAGGCCTTTTGTTTCTGGAAGAGAATTCTTGTTACAACTGTAGGCAATACTGAGAAAGGTGACAGCAAATTGCTCATAAGCTGCCTGGCTGTGACCACCCTTTTGGACCTACCTGCCTAGTCTCCTGTCCTGCAATGCACTTTGGGACTCTGCTAAGCCCTCTCCTGGGGAGTTCACACATCCTCTCCTTTTATTTCTTCCTGATAGTCTCATCCTATTTTGTTAACATTCTGTGAATTTACCCACATACAGGGAATGGCTTGGGGCTGGCCCATTGTCAGAAGAGATAGCCGTTACTGGAACCTGGCAAGAGATAGCCGGTATTAGAACCTCTCAAAGGAGCACATGTTGTTCTTGTTATAGACCTGAGGATGACAGCGCTGACAATAATCCTTTAACTTGCCCACCGACAGGCAATAAAGCCAGCATCTGACTTTGAAAACCCTTAACCTCTGCATTTATGACTTTATGAAATGTGTACCAGACCTTCTAGAATGTTCTAGGATGGCTTCTTTCACTTCATGAATGTAGGCCGAGTACTTCCCCACATCCTAGAGATTCTTCAAGAGCGCACCTTTAATAAACATGCAGAATTTGCCGGGGTGAATCATCTTTTACATAACCAAGTACCTCTGGCTGGCCATTTACTAGGTGGGGGAGGGAGCGGTAGAGGAGGGTGGATGGGCCTGAGGCCATCATGGGAAGACTCAGGCTTACTTTGGGGCCAAAGGCGACATCTGTTCTTGATTTAAGTAGGTGGTTGATCAGGTTGATCTGTCTCTTAGAAGTTTCCAGATTACTGGTCAGGGAGAGTATACGTTTTCCCAACTCCATGGTCCATTCTTCTCAGTCCTCTAGGGCCTGATAAACATTCCTACTGAAGGCTTGTTCAAGAGGCCTACATTTGACTCCATCTCAGCTTCCTTCTTCCTTGAATATTCTATTTTCACTGACTTTTGGCTCTGATTACCTGGGTTATTTCATAAGAGGGGTCTTTTACTTCTTACTTAGAAATTTAATTTGAGGCAGTGGGCATTTATATAGGCAACATCTTAACACTTTGCAGATAACAACAACAAAAAGATATGAGTATTTTGCAGAGTGAAAACAGCCTAGACAACAAAATATAAATTATCAGGAGGTGATAATCCCAGTCTAACCCTTGTCTCTTCATTTGTAACATAGTAGAGATGATTCTATAACCACCCCTTTTACACTTAATCTTATGTTATGAACACTTTCCCATGTTACTAAAATTTTTGGAAGCATTGTTCTTACATAATGTCATTACATGAACTCACCAGATATATTTAATTACTCCCCATTGACACTCCTTTCCACACATTCAGAAATTTCTTTTACACCCACACACAATACCTACCCATGAATTCTTTTTTTTTTAGAGCTTTAAGAAATTGCATTAGACTCTGATTTTAATCTTGCAGTTCTCTTTGATTCCTATCTTGGGTAATTAAAGATGTTTATATACTTAACTCAGGTCTATCTAACCTTACTCCTGAAACATCTAATAGAGTGGGAGTAATTATTAGAGGCCACCCCCTTCTCTGCTAGAACCACATCTGACCCGGTACAGGGTCTGGATCCAATTTAGGGATTCTGGCTTGGGAGCTCTTTTGGAAAAGATGTCCCACTTGGCCAGAGGGCAGATGTCCCCAGCTCTTGTTGATGGGGTCTTTATCAGCTTTGTCTTTCACCCTAGGCATGGAGATGCCGCAGATCAATTATGCTTACAACGGGAAGCCATACAGATATGTCTTTGCTACCGAAGTTAAGTGGAATCTCATCCCAAGCAAGGTACAACCTCTGTGTGATCTTGGACTGACTTTCCCTACGGCCATTGTTTCTGCCTGCAAAGCTGAGTTTTCAGACTGTGCCCTGGATCAGAATAGAGAAGACAGGAGGGAAGCCCTTTGGGGACTGAGGATTTGTCAGAATACATTTGCAGTAATAAAGAACCATCCCAGACAGAAGGAGGTGTTCAGGAAGGAGATCGTGGCTGGAGTTTATCCACTGATTTCTTTACTCACTAGATGTTTCTTGAGCACCGATTATGTGCTCCACTGTGAGGATCAGAAATTGGATAGGAGGATCCCAATCCCTGCCCTTAAGGAACTCACCCTCTCAAGCAAGCAGGTCATAGCAGAAACTTGGAGGATTCATTCTGGTATTTAAATTACTATTTTTTGAACACTTAATGTAACCCAGGGACTGCTAAGTGCTATACAGGCATTACTCTTCCCTAATGTCTTCACTTTTTAATAACACAATGGAAAATCTCTTTTTTTTTTAATGTAAACAGGTCAGAAATGTAGAAGACAATAAAATTCAGGTTCCCACACAACCCAGGGGCTGCTAAGTGCTATACAGACATTACTCTTCCCTAATGTCTTCACTTTTTAATAACAAAATGGAAAATATCTTTTTTTTTAAATGTAAACAGGTCAGAAATGTAGAAGACAATAAAATTCAGGTTCCCACACAACCAGGTACACACCCCAAGTCACTCCCCACTAATCCTGCACCCTAAAGGAGAGCCAGCCTGTCAGAGAGAAAGAAAGAAATCTAGGGGCTGGCACTTTTAAAACAACAAAGAAATGGTGTTATTCTTTAAATGATTGCTTTGAATACATACTTTTTTATGATATAAAGAAATACTGTAATGTAATATCCAATACTGGGTAAATTCAGGAATTTTATTTTTTTATTTTTTAAAGATTTATTTATTTATGCTTACTAAACTGGGGTACAGGCCAGAGGTGTGGTGGTTGAGAGGATTCACCAGGGACAGAGTGGGGAGCAGAACAGGCAGATCTAGGAAGTACACTGCTGAAGGGAGCAGCATAGTCAGTGAGGTCTGCCATGCCATGTGGGTCAGCTTCCTGGCCAGGGATCAAACTCGAGCTGCAGTGGCTTCAGAGAGCCTCATAATGTGGTGCTTTAACCCATTGCGCCACCAAGGAGAACCCAGGAATTTTATTTTTTAAAGGAGTTCAGTGTGCAGTGTCAACTTTGTGGTAGCAGGACAGCCTCTGCTTAAAGTTGGGGAACAAAGAGAGCTGCTTTTGTTTCTCTTGTTAAACTGTCCAGCAGCCATTGACAACTGGAGCGCCCCACCCACTCCATCCTCCTCGGTGCTTTCCACTTCACAGGGAGTAAGCCCACTCTCTGGTGACTCATTCGTGTGTCTCTGCTCTTTGGATGTACAGATAATCAAATACGACCTTCTTACAAAGTCGTTCATGGAGTGGGGAGAGGAACACTGTTGGCTAGGGGAACCTGTGTTTGTAGCCAAGCCAGACGCCAAGGATGAGGATGATGGTAAGACACTGGGGAGGAGAGCCCACGTACTGCATCCACTGTTACCACCCCTCAAACAGAGACAGCGTTTGAGATTACCTGACACCCTTTCCCACCCTATCACATAGCTGCTGGAGTCATTGACACCCCTCACTTCTCCCAGCAATATCCAGAGAGTGTCACAAAGCAGGCCAGCTACCCCAAGTCTTGGTGTCAGAGGCTTTTCAGGGTCTGGTCATGTGGACGTGGTTGGTTGTCTGTGGGGTTGACCTTTAGTCTTCAGCCCCTCTGCAGGTTAAGCTGACACCTTGTGGCCCAAAGGTCCTCACTTAAACCACTTTTGGGCTAGGTTAGATGATGTGACCCAAGGGAAATAAAGCACCTGTCAGACAGGTCATTCTACGCCCTTCAAGGTCACCTCCAGGGCAAAGGTTGGGCCTCCCTTTGGGCAAGATTAACCTTTTTACTATACAATAGCTTACTTCCTTCCCACTGAACAATATGCACCCTCCCAGAGCATAGAATATTGCCTCTAAAATTCATTGCAATAACTGAGTCAGAACCCTTCATTCTCCCTAGTGTGAACAATTTTTGTGAAGCACCTGAAATCTGTGGCCCTTTCTTTTCTAGGTGTCCACAGAACCTAGAAGTCCTTTCCATTCTTAATTCTGCCTTTGCCCCAGAAATGCCCTGCCCAGACCTCTGGGGATGCCAAGGAGGGTAACTAGGAACAGGGATGGGGTTACCTGCGCCTGCAGGGGAGGGCAGGCTGCCCCATGAGCCTGCCAACTGCTTCCCTCAGGTGAGACAGGAGTGGTTTTCTACCTGGGTCACGATTCCTATTGATTCTGCACAGCATGGCTCACTAGGTGGGGGACCAGTCACTGTCATGTGTCACTGTCCTCTCCAAGGTGAAGTTTGTGGTATCACCTCCCACTGAAGCCAGCCTCCCTCTGGGCTGGGCCATTGCTTCCCCCATACTGTCTCCATTCACCAAAGGAGAGGCTTAGAAAGGGAAGGAGCTTGCTTACGTTCACATACATGTCCAGTGCCTCCAGAAGTGGGATTTGAATCCCAGTTGATCTGACTTCAGTTGTCTGCAACCACTCAGACAGGGAAGGCTGAGAGAGGAATCGTGAATGTTTGCTAGAAGTTCACATGCATGAGTGTCCCTTGAGAGTCAGTGCTTAGAAGGTTTCTGTTTTGCAGAGGAAAACTGAGGGTGCCAGTATTCTGTGGAATGTGCCAGAATTGAATCAGACTTAATTCGAATATTACTGGTACAGGCTTAGCCATTGATGAGGCTGTGCAGACTGGAAGCTGATTCTCATGAAATTGAGTTTCTAAATAGTAGAAAAATAGCCATTCTTCAATGCATGAGTAATTTATAAAGTTCTATCATAATTGTCCATGCAAGAGAATCTTTCTGCTATCCTGCGAGGGTTGGGGGATTATCTCCAGTCTGAGGTTCAGTGAGACCCCGCCTAAGCTAGAACAGAGTCAGGTCTCTGGTGTTTCTGTCCTGCTCACACAGTGTGCAATTCATTTCCCTTCTGTTTTGATTAGCTACTTTAGTTCAAAGAGGGCAGGGAGCAGACTGAGACATGTATCCCTCCACTTTTTACGAAGTGTTTTTTCTTATTTCTCTGAAGGAATTATCTTATCCGTGGTGATCTCTACCATTCCCCAGAGGCATCCTTTTCTGCTTATTCTGGATGCCAAAAGTTTTACAGAATTGGCTCGCGCATCCTTTGATATAGAAATGTGCCCGGACCTCCATGGGTTTTTCATCCCGGCCCTGGACTGCGAAGCAGAGTTGGAGCATCCTCCTGTGGAGGAATTGGAACAAGCTTCACTGGATGACGCGGCCTCAAGGTCCTGACAAGGTAGAGGCTGAGGTCCTGGAAGCTCAGGGCCACTGGCAGGCCCCCATGCCCCAGGCCCCCTCGGAACCAGAGTCTTCGTGTCACTTTGCATATTCTGTGGTGGCTTTGAGATGAAAAGTGTGGAGACAGGTCTATGCATCTTTCTTTTTACACTGAGCGTCCAAACCTTCCTCGAAAGTTCATTGGCTGTTCATTCATCAGCTCTAGACCTCTAGCAAAGCTTCCTTCCTTTATCAAAAAGACTGTAACCATGATTCAGAAGCTGCACTCTATCACGCAAACTCTTCTTAGAATGAAAACCACGGACTCATTAGAGAAACAGCCAAGTTGTTCTCATTGCGTCTTCTCCCTGCCCTTCTCTTCCTGCCCTCCCTTTTTTTTCAGTGGCCTAACTTGTGTGTCCAGCAGTTCTGGCTTCCTCAATCATGCCCTTTTGGTAAATTGTGTGGCCAGAACACATGTTGCTTTGTGGTCAACCTGTGAAAGGTATGGCATAATATAAAATAATAAAAACTTGAAAGTCTATTCAGACCTTGCTCTGTTTTACATGGCTTCTTTCCTCTGAAGTCCTTCTAAGGCAATAAAATCAAGTGGTGGAGCTAGATGCCTCGTTGGACAACCAAGGGAGGAAAGTTCTTATGGGGCATCCCCTCACAGGAGGGGCTGAGAGGCTGGACAGAGGCCTGCTGGCCATGGTCCAGGGCTAAGATCCAGCATGTGTCCCAGGGCCAGGGCTGACCTGAGGAGTTTTTGCCTCATGCTGAGAACCTGGGCTGTGAGCCACACCAGAGCTGGAACGAGAATGGAGGCTCCCCAAGCTGTGGGTGTAGCCGGAATAGACCAGGTGCCTGGGGCAGAGATAGAAGCATCTCAGTGGTGGGGGTGCAGGAGGCTGGGAATGAGCCAGGCAGAGCCCCCATGGACATCTGTGTCTCAGCCTCATGGTCCACTGTGTGCCTGGGACAGGGCAGTAACTTCCAATACATGTATTGTGCGGCCTAGGAGGGGTACTGGGGGGATTCTATATGTGCCTTCTCCCCTGAGTCTGGATTTTGTTCAGTCCCCAATGGAGACTCAGTGAAATGTCTTGAGGACAGCAAGGACTCTTTGGTGACAATGCATGGAGTATTCCAGAGGGGCCAGGCCTCTGAAGGAGGGGCCTGGTTTTGCCCTCTCAGGCCAGTCTTAGCTTCTCCTAAAATGTGAACTCCTTCATGTCAGGGAGTTGGTTTTTTATTTTTTTAATTGAAATTTTAATAGCTTGATTGTAAAGTCTCATGCAGTTCTAAGAAATAATACAGAGAAATGCCATGTTGACATTACCAGTTTTCCCCAATGGTACATTTTACAAACTGATGGTGCATTATCACAATCAGAATATCAATATGGACTCGGGCCATTGACCTTTTTCAGAATTCTCCAATTTTATGCGTGTGTATACATATGAACAACTTGATCACACGTTTAAGTTCCCATATCCACCATAGTCAAGACACTAAATAGTCTGTTGGTGGAAAGAACCCTGCTCGTACTTCTAGAAAGGGGTGATCCCTTTCTTCCTTCCCTTCTACATCCCCAAGTCCTGGCCACCAAACACCAAACTAAAATTTTGTCATTTCAAAGATTTAATATAAATAAAATCACATGGTATTAATCTTTGGGATTCTTTTTTCCCCTCACAGCAAAACTTCCTTAGAGATTCAGCCAAGGTGTCCTAGGGTGTGTTATTCACCACTTTATCCTCAGCACCTAGAATAAGATCTGGCACAAGGCAGATTCCCACTAAATATTTGTTGAGTGAATGAGCGAACAAACAATGAAGATTTGACTCCATCATGGGCCAACAAGAGATGGATATTTTACTGAAGATCCCCTGGGAAAATTGAGGAAGACAGTTCATAGGAAACTGATAACAACAGGTACAAGTCCCCACTGAGGCTGCCCTGCCATCCTCATAACCTCTTCACTCATCCCCTGAATTTCCATTTTTACCCTCAGCTTCTATTTCCATTAAACAAAACACCAAGCCCTGGAGTTGGCAGAAGGAAGACCATCTGCTCTTCCTCAGAATCTCTTTCCTCCAGTCTTGATAAGGTGGGTGGGGAGGAAATGTCAGCTCTGGTGGCCTAAGAAAAATGTGCTTGAAGTCACATTGATTTGGGCAGTAGGTATGGAAAGGAGTCAACAAACATGACCATCACTCACCTACTCATTATTCTACTTTAAGAATTTGAGAAGAGGGTGGAATGAAACATTTCCCCACCTCCATTCTAGTCAATTTCAATTGCCAAACAGTACCCAGACCTAATCACAAAGAAGGTGCAGTCCTGCAGGGAAGAAAAATATGTCACTGGTTTGTTTAGCTTGTTTAAGATGACAGGTGAAATACCAGGCTGATGAGGAAGTCTGACACACCAAACCTATTTTTTTCTCAGTTTTAAAAACATCAAAGGCCAATGCCAGGGTATCTGATTTATCTTGAGCCTTCATTCCATTGTATTTCATACACAGGCCAGACAAACTCAAAAAGCTTCCCTGGCTAAGAGGCATGTGGTTTTCAGCAAAAAATGTCCATCCACCTTGCCCTCTGAGCCTTCACCCGGGTGCGGTATGTGACCAGAAGTTCCTGCAGGAAAAAAATCCCCCAGATCTATTTATTTTCCGAATGCTCTTAAGAAGTTTCAGACATATAGTCAGCCCTCAAATGCTTGCTGACCACTAACTCCTTCCTTCCAAGGGTTCTCTAATCTTCTTCCATTTCAGGGATAAGCTGGATGTATAACTGGACAATTCAACTCATGAAAAACCTAAGTGAGTTAAGCTACATCCCAAATCTGGGTTCGTACTCATTTCCTTCTAGCTAGAGTGACCAAGCGTCAGGCTGACTCCATTCAGTAGGCTGCTGGTCCAGCTTACTACAAAGACCTTTGATCACTTACTTCTTATGTTGTTTAAAGACTGTTTGGGTGGTTTTCCCATGGCACATCAGGACATGCTGGCAGAAAACTCACCTCCTTCCTCTCCATCCAGCACTCTGGGGTTCAGACTCAGCCACCAGGTGCAGACACACACAGGCCACCACATCTGCTGGGCTGCATCAGGAAGTAATCTCCTGAGGTCAGGCACCAGGAAAGAGGCCAAAGATTTTTTTGGACCAGGGAGGCAAACAGACGTGGGAGCATTGTGTTTGGGTTGGGTGGGGACAAGTCAGCCCTCTTTCCTCCAGGTGATCAGGAAGGGCTTCTCAAAAGGTTGAATGAATCTTCAGGAACTTCCAATGTGGCCAGAGGTGTTGCAGGCTGGGGTTTCTGCTGGGGATGAGGATTTGGGGTCAGATGTAGTCTGAATTCCCCCAAGAAAGTGCAGTGGAAAGACTAAGAAAATTTGGGGATTTTTTTCTTCTTTGTCTGACTCTGAAAGTCATATGTGTTTTTGTAGAACTCCTGGACACATAAAAACAGAAAAATAAGGAGACACACAAGCCTACTGCCCAAAGAAAGCCTCTGAAATCATTGTGGTGTGTCTTTTTTCTAGTTGAAAGTTTTTGAGTGTGTGAAGAGTGTACAGTTTCCAGGTCAGTGTACAGTACTGTGGTCAGTTTGTCACCTGCCCACCTGTTTATAACCTGCTTTTTCTCACTTCACATGGGATACAAGCTATTTCCTAGATCATTAAAATCTAATGGATGCAGAGTATTTCCTCTTTGGGGAGTGAAATGATTTGTTTACAGCCTGGCACTTGGACATTTACATTATTTCCAGTTTTTGATTCTTGTCAGTAATGCCAGATCAGCAACTTTGTGTCTCCATTTCTAGAACTCACATCTTCCTCTCTCTTTCTGCTCTTTATTCAGGTGGTGTTGTAAGGTCCGGCAGATAGAAAACGGCAAGGGGACGGCAGATAGAAAATGGCAAGGGCACAGAAGCAAGAGAGGGGAAGGCTTTATTGCACTCCTGAGCAGGCTGGTTCCCCAGGCTCCCCAGAGGGAGCCTAGCAGTTGCACTCAGTGTCCAGGCAAGGGGTCTTTTTTTAAAAAAAAATAATATAATGGTTTATTTTTACATCAATTTGTGCATTTTTCCATCTCAGTTGCAATCCCCTTGGGTTTCCCATCACCAAATCACCCGTGTGCCATCGCCAAAGTCCAGTGCATTTCCCTCCCCCCCACTGTTTTTGATCCAATTCCCCACTCCACCCCCACAAAATGGCTCTGGTATGTAGCTGTTCATTGTTATCATTATTATTATTATTATTTTCTAGGCAAGGGGTCTTCTACATGCCCGGCTCTGTCAGGCCTGGGGAGGTAGTGGAAGAGCCATGCTCTTATTTTCTACCGGGGGTAACATCCTGACGCCACTCAGCAGCTATCTCATCTTGGTACCTCCAGATATTCTTCCTTTTGCCACTCTGGGGGCCTGGGTGACCTTTCAGTTGTTATTGTTATTGGGTTATTTTGTGTGTGTGGCTAGAATTCCAAAGATTTCTGGGCCAAAGAGTAGAAAACAAGGTTTGTGTTCTTTGAAAGGCCAATGGTTTTGGTTTCACTTAGAGGAAAGTGAGAAAGCATTCAGAATCTGAGACCCTTGTATGGTCAAAATGACTATAGGCATGAGAAATCCTTATTTCTAGGAAACAGAAAAATACGGTTAAGTGATGATACAATTTTAGGCCAAACACTCTCTCCTGCTTTTTCCCTTTTCCATTCTCATCCTCTATATCCTTTCAACCCATAGATATATTTTTTATAAGGGTGGAAGAGCACAAGAGACTATCATGATGGTGCACAGGTGAAGTGGTGATGTGATTTCTATGAGGCCTACACCTGAGAGGAGAAAGCAAACATTGTACAAAAGGAAGAATGACGTAATATATGTGTGTGTGTATATATATGTATATATATATATATATACACAATAAAAAGTACTTGTTCTTTTCAGGCACGCATTCATTCATTTCACTCACTCATCCATTCATCCATTCATTCAGTGATAACATA